GAACTAACATTGGCCGTTTAATGCGAACATCCGTTTTTCCGTTTTTTAGTTATTTGACATTAACAATGCAATTTTACCTTTGGTCCTATGTCGCTTTTTTTGCTCCCAGTACCGAGCTATCTTCGCCTGCAGTTTGGCGTCATAGACGGCTTGCAGGTGTGCCTGTTTCTCTCGATGTCGCCGACGTATTTCTTCAAATCTTTCTATAAATACATTATAACAACAGTGGAGTGACAAAAAGTGATGATTCCTTTCAATAAATGTGTTTGCTTTATTCACCAGTGTTTAGAAAAGCATGCCTGAATAAAAAAATAATTAACAGAGCAAGATGTTGAATGTCAAACAAACCAAGCAGGCATTCTTTCGCGTCTTATGAAGCAAAATATCATAAAAACACACTGGTTGAATTATTGCTCGCTGTCTCACAACAGTTTTGCAAAATACAATTTTTTATAGACCTCAGATAAAAATCCTTACATGTTTCACGATATAAAAACTGTTTACATCATCATCACAAAAATTGTTTCAAAATTTGGAACAGCGATATCTCCAGACATGAAACTAAACATGTGAACGGCCAAAAGATTTTTTTACAGATTTGATATAAGTAAAAATTTAAGTTTGATACACTTTTCTCCAAGTGTGAATAACCTACACATTAAAACAGACAAAAATGCAAAATCCAAAACGATCCCTGAATCAAATGGAAGATGCTTTGATTTATATCAATTTTTTAAAGAACAAGAAAATTGTTTTGATAATAAAACTGTTTTGACCATTTTCACGCAAATATGTCATTTTCATTAAATTTTGCATAACGTTGTTGTTGTTTGCCACTTGTAGAAGTCATTAAAAAATATCTATGTGCACTTGATCTTCATTCTGTCGATGCACAATATAACTAATATCTTTTCCAACAACTATTATTTTATCGCAATCTGGATTTGATATAAGTTTGTCTCACCTTCTTGCTTTTTTCTCTGGGCGTCAATTTGTCGTTCCCACTCTTGCTGATGTGCTTTTGCCTTTCTTTCCACTTTCTCCCTCTTCAGATTCTCTCGCTCAATCTTCTGCTGTTGCACCCGCTTTCGTTGTTCCCAGTCGTGCTGTAGCTAGAAGTGAAAAAAAAGTTTTTTTCTACTCCCTTTCTCCTTTTGTACTCCCATTACTTTTTTAAAAAAATAAACAGATTCCATAAACAATTAAACATTCTTCTTATAAAATTTGCTACCTTTTGCTGTAATTCATTTTCTTTTTGACGTTTGCGATCTTCTGCACGCTGCCGACGCAGCAGGTCTTGCTCCAGCCAACGACGATGCATGATGATACGACGCATTCGCTCCTAAATTATTATATCGGATAGATCAGAACATAAAAAATGGAGTATCTTGGGTAGACAATCATTGTAAATGTAATTTATTCATTTTTTTATGTAAAGTAATAGTAATTTATATATTTTGAGTCTTAAAATTGTCCTTTTGTAGACCCTAGGGTACGCACGACAAAGAGCTTAGCCATCTATTCCCATAATGTCTCACAGTGAGGGGTGATTGCTGGTTATTTGTAGGTGAAGATTAATATAGTAATAACAAAAAAGAAAAAAAAACATCAGCAGCTACATGTATCCCATAACTTGAAAAAGGCGACAAGATCTACACAATTCTTATGAACTGAGTTATCATGAAAATGCCTATATAAGTTCATGCAGCTAATTCCATTGGCTAAAAACTTTTAAAACATTGCACCTTTCTGCGTCGTTTGTTCATCAAGTTAAGCCGCCGAGCTTCCTCCACTTGCCGTCGCTGCTCAGTTTCTGAGAGCAAATCTCTGCGAGCCTGTTCCTTGCGTGCCTGTCGCTCGAAGTTCTGCTCCAGTATACGATGGAATCTATGAAAGAAAACACTGATAAGCCTACGCGCTGCATGAACTACAGCATACCGTGTAGATTTGTAAATGCCCCGATGTCACTGGCCCTGTAGGACTGCGCTGTAGTTACCCGTTCTTATTGCGACATGTGTGCTATTGGAGCAACTACTACTACTACTACTACTACTACTACTAGGTTAATTGCCCATTTTCGAATGATACCTTTGCCTTTCCAGTCGCTGTTTCTCTGCGATGCGTTTTCTTACAGCCTGTAATTTCTGTATGTGCGCTTTATTAGAACTGCCATCAGCCATTTTATCCCTCCCTTCTCTTTGACTAGCTTCAACCTGAATAAAACGGTTGTTATTATATCTGAATATATGTATATGTATACTATGACCTCTTTCAACATAACAAATAGTTTGCAAAATGTCAAATGATCTGTTCCTTCAGTGTTTGTGATTGTTTTTACTTCGTTGAAGAATGTTGAGCAACAAACATGGCATTTGTGATTAGCACCATCTCGAAGGATGTCTTATTTAAGAAACTAAACTTGCGGTTATATGTTTATTGAAGATTTTGCCATAGTATCGGGTGTCTTGAATTCAGCTCAAACCTTTTCTTTCCTTTCTTTGGCCAACATCCGGAGGTGTATTTTGCGCAGATACTGTCTGAACTCGTTAAATTCCTTGAGGTTGCACAGAACCTTCCCGCTCTTTGTGATAAGTCCTTCTTTGTACAATCTAAAAAAATCAAAGACTGGATTAATAAGAGACGAAGAACCTCAAATAATATAAACCCTAGACTACTTTTTTCGACAGTTTTCTTGAGCGGCTCCCCTGAACGTGAACAGGTAAATATGCAATTAAATGTAGGTTGGGGGGGGGGTTAAATTCCACTTTATCAAAATAACATGATTCAGAGATGGGTCTCTGAGGACGCGTGCTTTGACAACGTCCATTGCAGAGTAAGGACAAGTTGAAGATAGCTTCTTGTGTCCTAAGAAATAGTTTCCTTAATTATGAATAGACTAAGTAATGGATAGAGATGCAGGCATCACGCCTACATGTACGAACTGTGAAGTCTAAAGGTATCTGTGTAATGAGGACATCATTAGGTGCACTGAAGGGCACATTTAAAGTCCCTAGGTGTCTGCGTAATAAGGACATTATTAGGTGTCCTAAAAGGGGCATTCAATGCTAAATACGTCAAGGTGCCTGGCCTCTAATGATGGACCGAGGTAGCCACGTCAGTGCAGTGCTGTATTATTGCAATTTCATCCTTTTCTACTCAGATTTTAAATTTAACTACATTTGAATTTGGTGTAGGCCAATTTACAATCGGACTGGATTTTTTTTATCTGACATGCGGCAAATATATCTAAATTTTTTATCACAAAAGGGGAAAAGACACAGATTTGGACGTACAGTATCATTATTGATTTTCTTGTGAATTCTCTTTTTTTGGAGAAAACTCTTACCTGTGAAGCATGTAGGGCTGAGTCAGATACGGCTTCAGATGAGGGTCATGAAGCTCCTTGTACTCGTTCGAAATAATCAGGGCGTATGGGTCGGTCAAGTCAAAGTCTACACATTTATGGATCTATAAAAAAGGAATGGTCTGGAATTTATTTTAGGAAAAAATCTTTAAAATACCATTTTTAAGTCAGTAATGTAGTTTTGATGCCTTACGCCCTACCCTAAAGATAAAGAAAGATATGAAAAGAACGTGCTGAGCCGTTAGTTTATATCAAGATAAACAGCAAGAACAGGAGATAGGCCTATACTGATAATTCTTATTAGTCACACAGTCGATTGCTAGAACAATGCCTGTAAAGACACCCTCCAGCTTCACGTTCAAAATGTCCATTCAGCAAAGACATATGCATTTTATAATAACAAACACTCGCCAAAAATTGATTATGACATAACCTTTTCTCCAACTTTTGTTGTAAATAATTTGACGGCGCCTTTTGGAGCGGGCATCATTGGAAGTTTTGCATCCAAAGGCAAAGTGGTCCAAATCGGGAGCGGATTGGGAGGCAAAGTTGCCTTAGGCCGTCTGTCCAGTTCATCAGGATTCAGTCTTCTCGACAGTGTCAAGCGATCCATTTTAAAGACTCAATTTGTTTTGTTCAGTGCATGTAAAATTCATTTTAAAGTCGCCATCTTGCTATCACCGTTCAGCGTTTTATTACGACTGACGTCACAGTTGAATTGATAACATAACTTGTCATCAACGTCAACGTAATTTACGTCATAGATCTATAGACTATTACTTTTACACATTGTCAGACATCGCAACCGCGCCGGATATCAAATTCAGTGTTGAAAAGTTAGTCTACATTGTGAGTATTAGGCCTATTTTAAAGTTACGTTTAATTTTAAAGTTAGATATGATGACAAATGCAGTAAACAGCTGATAAAGTCTAGCATAAATGCGTCACCTATCTATTCTTTTTAACTTAATTATGTGAAATCTTACTTATTTAGCTTGTAGGCCTAAATCAGAATTATTATTTCTGGCATCAATGAATCGTAGTGTAATGAATAAAGAAAAGAAAAAAAGGGAAAGAAAAAAGACAGATTTTACTGCCATAATCGGAATACGCCTTGTGAATCACATTACTAATTAAAATCCCTTCGAAATTCGAGATTACAAAATGAGACTAATTATTTTGACAGATGGTTAAGACGTTTAGTTGTTTGGATGGTGTTTGTGAAGACCAATTCAGGTCACAGATGTTTTGAGTGGGTGAATGAATGAATAAAAGTATTGCTGGCCTTAAATTTATCTTTATAAAATATAATAAGACCACTTTGCCTTTACAAAAGTGACTGAAAAATATTTTCGGAGTCTTAGACAGAAAAATATCGAATGTACCATTTCAAAGGGTATTTTCATACAAACCTTTGTCTGACGGAAGAGCAAAATAAATAAATAAATAAATAAATAAATAAATAAATAAATAAATAAATAAAATAAATTACATGTATAGGACAACTACATGTAGAATGACAAAAAAAAAAAAAAAAAAAAAAAAAAAAAAAGAAGAGGAATGCTATTTTAATCTTAAAATAAAGATCTTGTGCCAGGTGTTACGAATGCTAGCTCAAATAACAGTAGAATAAAGGTAGAGGATATTCAAGTGCGCTTTGGGCACTTTTATGTATAAAAAAATTTATCACCTTGGGAAAGATATTTCTCAACATTAGTATCACATTTCTCATTGTGAATAAGCAACTCAATAATTGTTATAAAGAGAATACAAATTACTTGAAAAAATAAACCAACAAAAGGTAATGAGCGAAAAAAGGAAAGTTAAGAAAAAAGAAAAGAACTTGAACTGAATCTTGGACACTGTGCTTTGCCGCAAAATGTTTAACATTGTCACCCTACTTTATAAACACATTTTCATCGTTAAGTTCAACTATCGGTTATAGATTATGCATCTTAAGATCTTACGTTATTATTCGGAAATAAATCACCATTTCAAATTAAATTTCTACATATTTACCTACTTCGTGAATAATGAAGTTCATATGTTTCATCTATTTCCCAGACAAGATTTCAGACAGGCGTTAATATAAGCAGCCGTCAAGGATTAGCCGTTTATTAAGACAAACCCTTACAAATTACCTTTTAGTTTTTTCCGCTGGCAGGATTCTGTTATCACTAAAGTAAAATATGAATTACATACTTTTACATAGAAATGCTTTGATAAAATGAAGCAATAAAAAGAAAGAATATCACAAAAAGGGACGAATGGATACGAAACAACCGAAAAATAACATAAAACAAGGAATTAATATTCGTCGAATCTTTCAAATTAATCTGCTCATTAGGTACTGTTCTTCATGCATGTCTGTCGAGGTACATTCGTCAGAAGCACTGGATTTGAAAACCTGGAAAAACTTGGTTCTTGGTACGGTTTCGTTTATAACAATGGATTGAATAAATTCAACCACACATCGAATCTTCTTTAATATAGTGCTATGGCTACTCTCCATAATACAATCTATGACTCTTGTGTCAATGGCGCACTTGAATATCTGTTTTCACTTCGATATCTTTGGGTTGTGTATTAGCTTTCATTCAGCAAGCCAAGAGGTCTATGTAACAATGGTTATGTTCCATTTGCTAACCCACTTATGATATAGTCTAAATAACCACTAAGGTAAAACACTAGCATAAGCAGCACTATCACCCACTGAAATATGCCGACTACCAAGCTAATATTGTTCAGGAGTCGTGCAGTTCTTGAACTTTTACTGGCGGTATGTGGATCTCCATTGCAAACAGCATCTCGCACCTTACATGAAAATAGAAAGAAAAAAAAAACAGAACAGTTTTACCTTTAACAATTAACAGTTCTATAATTATTTATTCTATAGTGAAATCACCCTACTTTATTCAGTGAATGAGCCTTGACAGTGTAAAGAAGCGCGTTTATTTTTGCTAAGCAACCATGGTGACAAATACAGTTTACACGTATCGTGCTGTAGCATTAATTGCTTGGTGTTTTCGTTACAAGAGAAAATAATAATAAATGTGGGAATGTTTAGCTTCGTTAAAAACAGGAAACAGTGGATCAAATTTTTTTTTACCTTCCATGAATAGTATATTGCAGCAAATCCTACTGGAGCAAAGCAAAAAATGCTTGTGATTACGGAGCACAGGAGGTGGTCCTCGGGGTCTCCTTCCCAGAAAGCCTGGTTTGTGCTCGCGCCAAATACGCTGGCGACATGCTTGTAAAAGAAAGGAGAAAACATATGCAAGGGTGGCGTTTTTGTGACCATGTGATCCTATGTGTAAAGAAAAACTAATCTGAAATTCATATCTCTTAATTAAGATATAAATATAACTATTACATAAAGTTAAGCTTGCGACCATTACGGTAAATGTTGAGATGACTGACAGTTTAGTTATAGATGCCTAACTATTTGATGTATCCATTTCTTGATATAGAAAGTCCATTGACTTTTTGCAAATTTTTCGTTTGAGGAACTTTGCATTACATAAACAGATTTATAACTCGCTGATTAATATGAAAATATAAATATACACATTCAGTAATAGTGATACTGCACATACAAACAACATACGGGTGCCATCATGGCAAACGCAGTTTTATTGCAAGACATAAGTATGTAATATGTGTGAGGGTGAGTGACTATACCTGAGAGTCAGAGGAAGGCACGTCTGTCAGTGGAATATCACTCACTGACGCCCGGGGTGATTCCATTGCCCTATCTCAGACCAACGCTGCAGGCTTTACCTTGGCACTAGACTGGAACGCGAAGTGCACATTTACTATGAGACACTGGTTTATACTTTGTTTTAGACTTTGAGCAGTGGGTAAGAACATTCAGTCAGTTAGTGTAGGCTTGTGCTAGTTAACTTTATTCAAAAGAGTTATTGATGTAACGTAGATACTTGGTGTACATCAGGAACAATACGGATGTGCTTGCGATTGAGATGCCAGTGCACCGCACCACTTTTGCCATTGGTGCTACACTAGGGCCACGCATTCCGCTTTGCTAGCCGTGATTGACCGACTTGACGAACAGAGTCGACAGTAAAACACAAATGTAAGCCGCTTTGATATTACTACTACTTGCGCTTGCCTAAGACCTACCTCCGATCTTGTCGAATGCAGTCAGCATTAAAGCTCAATTCGTTAGATCATTGAGAGGATGACTAGTAGCCAGTCATAAAACTGGTGTTTTTAATGTTTAATACTTGTTACCGCCCCCCATTCACAAGTTAATCAGTTCAGATTTTCCGTGATACAATAGTAGGTCAGACTGCTGCAATGGTGCACGAACGGGAGACTTATCAGTCAATAATTAACTTCACTGAACTCTGTGCGAAAGATTTGGCTGGCTGTGTCAAGTATCTCTAGCACAATCAGTGAAAACCCTCTTACTGTGATCAAGGAGTTATAACTCCTTGCTGTGATAGAGATGCTTTTTTTGTCTGAATGGTTTACAAGCAATTAGACTTTTAGTATATTTTACAGTGACATAGATTGTGAGTAACATAGATATCGACAATAATTACAGAAAATATATCTAAATACAAACCTAAAAGTACATAGTACCATATTTTCCATAATAAAAACAAGCAATTCTCGTAAGAAAACAGCCTTACACCGTTCTTGAGTCTAAAAAATATGTAAAGCATAAATTGCATAAGATGTATTGGGTCAGAAGAATATCATTCACCTAATTATTTAATCAAAATCGATTCCATATTCTTAAAAGACTACGAAGTAGTCAAACATGAAGCCAACCAAATAAATGTTACAAGTTTTACTGACAAAACGTCACTCCTACATACAACTCTTTAACGATAAAAATCAAACTGAAATCGTTTTATAATATGTCCCTCCATCTTCAGGTCCAGTTTGTCGTTTTTCTCTTAATGCTTTTCATCACAAAATCAGAAACTTTAACTAGGTTGATCTACCATTTCTATAAATTGAAGTGGAAGACACTTGACCCGACTTTGATACTGGGATGGCAAAAGATGGTGAAGGGTGGGTGTGTACTGCCATCACCCTGATTGTAACAAGTGTGCCGTCTATTGTCGACATTAATATCTTACTGATCAGTGACACGTTTAATTACACACACACACACACACACAATTAATTTTACAGTCACAGACAAACAGAAACTTTAACACCCATACACGATAACTTCACCTCTCCTGCGTGCAGCAATTGTACTGCACGACAGCCCAAGTATTTTAACCAACAAACAAGTGATTTCTGATTTTATGCTCCTTATAATTATTTAAATTACAATATATTTTTCGATACTCACAATGTGGCCCAACTTTGTGTCAAAAAAGTAGCCTATGCGAGATCCGTATAAAATCTAGCTGCCTTTAGCACAACTGTGAAGGTTTTAGACGACACATTACATAATTAAATATTTCTACATCAAGAAGTCAGACAACGCACAAATGTGAGTGTTACTGAAACGGGTTCGTACTAGCTGCGATTGATACCTAAACATGCGGGACATAATTATCTCTGCCAATAAAAGCGCTTATGTTTTCACCGCCGTTGGTTTGTCCGCTGGTTTTAGAGATACCTAGAAAAGTTCTTCGCAAATTTTGACGAAGTTTTCATGATAGGCACTTGTTCGTGAGGGAATAAGTGAATACAGATCCCACTAAAATCCGGGACCTTTTAACGTTTTAAAAGGAGTTTTGCCTTTTTCCATACAACAAAACTGTAGTAAACGCTTACTGACGTTACCAATTTACGCGTTTGTGCTACCTGGCCGATTTCCATGATGGGGGTTTATTTAGTATACTAATGGGAAGAAAGACGCAAATCGCATTTTAGTAGTATAATGTACTAGACTTTAAGGTGTAGGCCTACTATTAAATTTGCTGTTCTGAATAATACCAGCTTGTCCGTAACTGTTAACTAAAGCAACTGTTAACCGAATCAACTGTTAACTAGACTCCATTATGGTTTAACGATGTCAAAAGCCTACTGAACCGCTACGCATGGTATAACCAACGATTCCACCCGTAGAAAATGCTATTCACGTTACATTAACTACACGCAAAATAACATACATAAGTGCTAAACAATGACAAACAAATAAAATAAACAACACAGTTACAAAATACATCAAACAATAAATGAGGAAGTACAGACAGCAAGAGGTCTTTTTTAACACAATTTATTACAAACAGGAGTGTTCAAGATAACTGAAGGAATTTGTTCACAGAAGCCGTGTACACCTATCGCATGTATACGCCTCACGTTACCACCTCATCTCTAGGTGTTTATACGTGTGCATGGTTTTGTCTTCAGCACATGGAGATGGTGACATTTATGCCTAAGTTCCCGCCCTCGGCAAACAGTCTAGCAATATTGGTGTCAAAGACTAAACAGTCACTACTTGAGATGGCGGACTGTACTCCGTCGTGAATACTCCGCGGTGTGGCTTCCCAGGTCAGCCTGCGTCTGTGTCCGTTTAACTCCAATCTGAGAAAACAAGAATAAGAGTCCATAAAATCTGGACGGTCATTTGTGTCACTCAATATTCAACTTAAAATTATTTTGTACAGTAAACAGTATTTTGGAAATAAAAGAGAAGCATGTTTTTCAGCTGACGTGCAATGTTCTTTTTGCATACTGCAAGACACTTACTTGTAAATGAAACTTTCTGCTTGTTTTCGTGTCCCAATCAGCTGTACTATAGCATAAAACTGTTGATGGCCATCCATCTTTTCCTGTTTTTCCAAAACTAGCATAAAATTGTAACCAAAGCAGGACTGCATCATAACCCAGTCCACAGCACCTGGGAGGTTTATATCTGTGGCCAGAAAGACTATGTCTTCACCTGATAAATTAAAAGAAAACGCATTTAGCTGGGAAATCATTTCTTGATACGAATAATTTTTTTTATATTATCCGACAGTGCTATATGCTGAAAAGGATGCAGCATGACTGAGATACAAACATTGCAAAACAACAATTAACAGCCAGATACTAACTCCAAAATTTCGAATCAGCTCATTCCATTTTAAGACTTAAAATGTTCTTTTTTCATGTGATATTAAAGATAATAAATCTATGGTCATGTTAAGGATTATGCATTGCTAATTCTGCACTCTACAGTTATGTGGAATTCAGTACCAATCTCTCAAGTATATGCACACATATCAAAAACAACTGGACCTAAGCAGACACTCTAAAACACAAACACAGTACCTTGCAGTGTAGTAATGCTCTTGTGATGCTGCATTAGATGAGGCATGACTTGGTCCAGCGAGCCTTGCCACTTACATGAAGCACCTGGGCATGGGCAACAATAAGGCCTAAAACAAAAGATTCAATCAGTACATCAATAAAGCTGACCTTACTTCTTTCCAAGCCTTGACAAACCTCAGAAACCATCAGAATTGAATAAAAAAAGGTGGAATTCCACTTTTCCGCATAAAAAGCTCTTGTCTGAAAACAAATAGAGCACAATTTTTAATTTATACATTCAAATTGGTAGCTTTTTTTCCTATCATTTCAAAAAATATATATAACACAAATGTAGCTCTGACAAAGCAGAGAAGAATGAATTCTATAAATAACAAACTTCTCAAGAAGTTACCAATTTATAAATTACCTGAATTCACATGTTTCTTCGTGCTCCGTTTTCTCTGTGTGCAGCAGGTTGACAGCACATCCATTTGACATATATTTGCAAGGGAACATCACTGTCATTGCAACTTTTTCCATTGCCAGATTCCTAATGTTACCTGATATATCAGATGGGACAAAAGCAAGTTAATACATTTAGAGCAATTGATCTATAAGTGGTGAATGTTTCATTCTGGAAATGTCAAAATATGCATATTGATGATATTTATATTAAAATTCGTCTTACTTCCATACATAATCAATAATAGGGCCTAGTGCACTTACCAAGGGGTCCTCTACAGGTTGGGCAGCATGAAAGCTTGGGTCTACAGCTTGAACAAACAATATGTCCACTCTGACACTGCATAATGGGTGGGAGAGCATAGTCAAAGCAGACTGGACACTCAAACAGTCCAGCTAGATCATTGTTACTGCTCCCTGTCACAGGAAGGAGGTCTGGAATTATGAAATACTTTTCTGAGGTGTCTCAAGACTGACGTCATTTATCAAACTTGTATTTATATACTATACTTGTATATTTGATTGTGCCAACATTAATGTCAAGTTTCCAGGTTACTTCAAACAACACTAGGAAAATTGTTTTATTTTGAATGGGATTCAGTCAAATTTATTTTCAGTTTGCAGTACTTTTGTTTGAACATGTCAATTAAATATTTCAGTGCTTGTAGACATAAGCTACCAACAAAAATGTTCTCTGTAATTTGTCTCAAAGAAGAAACACTGTGACATAATATCTGCATGTTTCTTATCCTGAATGTTAATAATTATAATAATTGTTGGACTCACCAGCTGTGGATCCTCCTGTGGCAGTGGCAGGGTGGCGACTGACCGGCTTGGTGCCATTAGTGGAGGACTGGCGATTCATCCTCCTCTCAATGGCTCGTAAACGGTCACTAAACCTGAAGTTGGATTATAAAAAGTTGGTGAAAATATATAACAGGTTTTTTTTTTTTCAACAAAAGTCAATTTAACACTTTCAGGTTTAAATAAATACCAGTACCCATAACGTCTTTGAAGGAAAAGTTTTCACAATGTTAAATGCACCTACATGTTTGCCCAAGAAACTGCTTCTTAGTTTTGCTTTGGTAACTTTTTAGCATTCATATACAGTTTGCATTCTTTATATCACTATTTAGTCAAGTATATGCCATGTAAGGACAGATGTTTTGTAAAACTCTAATTCTATCCTTTCGTGACTCTTCTGTCAATTGTTCAAACTTGTGCTCATTTACAGCGCCTGCTTTTGTTATTTTAATTTTGAACAAGTCATAGAATAGCAAGTCTCTGTGTCCCCAAATGAACTCACAAACTAATGTTCCCTTGTGTTTGTTTGTTTTACCTGGGTTATTAATAGACTGACATTGAGTACAGTGCAGAACATCTTTCACTGTCATCATACAATTTCTACATTGCAAACACACAAAACAAAAGAAAGTCAACAGTCAAAATTTTGTCTTGTGCATACCATCCATCATTATTGGCACAAGCCCGAGTGCTGATGTAGTACTATTCACTACAGATGGCACATTGGCAGTCGTAATAAATGTGTTATTAACCATCTTGAGTTTTATTCACTTCTCAGAACAAAATACACTAGGTCTTCAAAGATGACTAAACACTGAAATTTGGTCTTTTGTCAACGCCGTTTTACGGTTATTAACTGATGAGTAGGTTTCAACATCACAGGTCAGTCATACACAGTCCGAGATGGAGAAAGATGATAATCATCGATCGAAAGAAAGATCAAGCACTTTACTGTGAAACACAACAAATCTTTTCGTAATGTGGACAGTTTTATCCACTCTGTAATAAGTCTGAATATCCCTTACTCATATGACAACAACATAAATACTTTTATTCTACTATAAATTCCATTTAAGTAAATATAGCGACCTACCTCTCTCGACAAGTTCTTTCTTTCTGACAAAATGTCGTCCTGTGTGTACTACGTCATCAATGCGCAAAAAAAGATGACGTAAAGTCATTCGGGAGAAATCGGAAACCAGATTCCCATATTTGACGGAATCACCCGAGATTCTCTGAAGATTGAAATGTATATTTCACGAGTCGTGTTTGTACTTTAAATTTTGCGTTGATATTCACACCTGAATTTCTTTATTTTTTGTTTGAATTTCAATTGTTACCATTTTCTTTGCATAACTTTAAGGAAGCGTAGCGGTATTCCTCTTCTAAAGCATATTATTAATTTCGAAGTTTCAGTAGGTCTCTAGAGGCTTTTCACCCAAAACCAATAGGCCTGCCTATACAGGTGCAATTGAGGTCACAGGTATGCTCTTAAAAATATTTAGTGCACAGATTGCAAACTATGTTTGATTATTTTATGGTCCCACATGAAGAAGTTTGCATCAAAGTTTCACTCTCCTGGAACCAAGAATAATAATAATAATAAATCATCGTCTAGCTAGTAAATGGAACATAGGCCTACGTTGTCACAAATGCAAAACGTCCAGCTGTGAAACGTTTCACTCACTTTGAAAATTCAATCATCACTGGTTTTGTTCTTTGATTTATCTACAAGTATAACGTTGTAAAAATAATTGTAATCTTCTGTATAGAGCAGTTAATTGTTTGGGACTTCAGTTTGCTTGTCACTGAATATTAATAAAAAAGGGGGAAAATACATCCTACTGTAAATACTGAAAATACATCCTACAGTAAAATAAGAATTAAATAAATTATTTATCCCCTCGTGATCCAAATATTATATCAAAAATGTCAAACTATTATGGAATCACAATATGTTTTTCGGTTAGCAACAGAAAACACTGTTTTCTATTTCACCACGTACGCTACTTGAACAAAATGAAACGTTCTGACAAATTTTCTGGGGAACATACGTTACCTAGTATTAGCCATGGCACAAAACCCCTTGAGTTACAGTTTAAATATTTATAAAAATATCCGTACGTCATGTATAATTTACCATGACTGAATCATTACAAAATTTTAAAATTAAAATTGAAATTAAGTTACCCGGAACATAGGGCCTACGTTCCCATACGTTTCCGGAACATACGTTATCATTTAGGGCTTTTTGTGTAATGGGGATGGTCCCATAGACCTTTGGACCACTTACGGTTTAAGCTTATCAATTTTCGGAGCATAGGCCCTACTTCGCTTTAAATTATGAATTATTGGAGTACAGAAAAATATCTATAACTTTGGAACAACGCTCTGTCCTTTTTTTAAAATAGCCTACTTTCGGACTAAAAAAAACTTATTTTTACTAGTGTTAGTTCCTCAAATTTCCCTTATCATATCTGTGGTAACCAATGATTTTTCATATTATTATACCTGTATACTGTAATCAACAGAAAATGATAAATCGGAGTCAGTTAATTATAATATTTATTTATGATAATGTGAAATAGCAAGAACAGTTAAAAGAACATTTTTATTTTCCTTATTTCCTTTACATAAGTTGGACATAACAAGACCCTGCCTTCAGGCTTTTTTTCTGACTGGAAACTAAATTAACACCGAAGTAAACTGTCATATTTCCTTTTTCTAACTGCTAATCCACATACATGGTTCTTGACTTGGCAGGACACTTCGCACTATCCTCGAGATGTTCACTGCGCAATTACAGAAAATAATTTAAAGTAAGTAAACACGAAAGGATAAGACTTATCAAGGTATATGGACATTTGTTCTGTTGTGTAGTGACGTCTTGGTGTTGAATGCAGCCCCTTGGCCTATGTCAGTCTAAACATTAGGCCTATAGTCCTTTTTCTGAAATAGAACATTCATTATCATACCTTTTTCAAATGGTACGTATAAAGTAATTTGCTTGTTTGGACTAAATTCTTTTTTCTACAAGACCTCACCTGAAATAAAAATGTGTTGATTTCTGGTTTGTTTGAAATCTTTGCAACAATAAGTAGCCTATTGGTATTTGCGCTAGCCCCCCTTCCCCTACCCAAATTTTCTATTCACGCAGATCTTTGAGTTACATTTTCATACGTCTCCGACTTTGAAAACCAACAATATAACAATACAGGACAAAAAATTAGGGGAATAGGCCACGAATCCAGTGCTGTTATAGTGACGCCGCCTAACAGTTGAGTTGTTAAAACTTGTAATGCCTGTAGGTTTCTTTTTTGCATGTCTTTCGCGTCCGCCACTTTTTTCGCCGTGTTCAATGTTATTGCTCCTATTCTTCTCTCTGTCTTTCTTTGAGTTTACTTTTTTATGTTCCTTCTGCCTATTAGATTTTGGGTTTAAGTTGTAGCCTTTAGGTCTTCCGTTGCCATGGTTACAGTAATCCGAACTGCACGCAGACATACAGGTGTAAAAGAATGTGTCGTCTGTACATTTATTTCCTCTGCTTGGTGCACAGCTTCGTGCAAAAGAGCGGATGCTTTTTTCACCTACATACAAGTAAAAAGAGCAGCATTACATACAGAGCAATATGTTATAACATGAAACCTTTCCAAGTCTTCGTCTATTCGAAAAAGGACAAAGAGAGAAGGGGAGACACTGTAAGCAATGCAATTGAGATGGATAATACAATTAAAGCTTTATGAGTATTAGACAGGTACTAAATTTTACCTTTTTCAAAACAACTTCACTAAACCTAATTAGTTTGATCGTAGTATCAATGAATCTACACAAATAAGAAAAGATAACCTTTATCGTATTGTCTGAATATTGTACACTTAAATCCCGGCAATGTGCAGCGAACGGCGTTGACACCTCTAGTGACATTCCATGGCTCAGTAACACATTCATAGTCAACCTCTGGGTTACCTGATAAGGTGTAAGAACATGTATAACACCATGGATTTCCTAGAAGAAAAAAAAAAACATCAAGAATTTCTCATGAACGCATTAGTATGCAAAGACTTTTCGCTAAAATAACTTTGCGTGAAGTGTTTTCCAAGAATTTTCCACTCTTTGAATAGACTACATGATTCCATACAGAGAAAATCTCTGCTTGTTAGAGATACATGTAAGCAGGTCAAGATTAACGCCCTAGTAACTGATTACTTTGACTATAGCGCAGACGGAACTCATCATTTCATTTGCCCGTTGTATACTCACTTTTCGCAGCTGAGAAACACCAATTCATGGCAAGCAGGCATGTCACGACCAAGTGTCTATACACCATGCCACCCGTCCTACAGCGCATTTTGAACTTGAGGGCTTCTTATATATCTCAGACAGTGTCTATAATATCGTATGTAAACATATAGATATACGTATACTTTGTTCATGTAATTTGCAACTACATGTGGTTTTCTTAAAACATATGTCACGCGTAACAGCTGGTAGTTACAGCTTATTTTTTTAAGGATGGCCTTTTTTTTAAGAACTGGACAGTCATAAGTTTAGAATGAAGGTATGTTATTATTTTAAAAACTGCTCTGGATTTGAGGTTTAGAAAAAGAAAGGGTTATGAAACTGATAGCGTCATTACTATGTATATATAAAAACACTTTATATTCTCGAAATATACGAAAAGCTAAAAGCGGCCTTTTCAACCATGCTTCTATTCAAGTTCAAAAAGACTCATCCAAGATCCCACCAAAAGGCTTGTAATGACAAAAAAAAAAAAAAAAAAAAAAAAAAAAAAAAAAAAAAAAAAAAAAAAA